TTCATGAGATTCTTATTTTCATCACACATGATTATGAATTCCAAGAGAGATATGTATTTTAATTTATGAGATTCGTCTAATTTTATTTAAAGAAATTTGTTATAAATTTCCACATAAATTTTTATGAAAGAATTATAAATTTTTGTAATCCTAAAATTGACATTATACAATTCTATATGAAACTAACTTTTTTATTTCTTTACATATACATCCCTGTGCAAAAGTATAAAGTATTTTTATTTTTTAACCATACAATTATTATATAATCATATTACATTATTATATAATATTATATAATATTATATAATATATCACATTATTATATAATAATTTAAAAAACTAACATAGCATCTTTTTGTTGGAATGATCTGAGAACTGTAGAATCTGAAATACATCCTATCGAGATATGTATTTGTTACTATATCATATTTTAATTAAAACCTGATTTGATAATGCTATTATTAACACAAATTGTATACTTGTTGTTAGAAACTATAATATCTTTCACTCACTTAGAAATACTGTGAAAAATATGAGTTCCTTCTCTTTTGTAGTGAATGTTTCAGCAAATCAATCGATATTCGAATAACACATAATAGATCTTTATCGGAGACTATTTTATATATATATATTTCTTCGTCATTTATTTCTATTATCTATTTACTTACCTGTTGCTTTTGATACGTGTCTTTATGAGACTACTATGAAACAATGGAATACTTAACCTAGTGTTATCATATTCTAACAAAATTATTGGAAATTGTAACTGATCGTGTACACATGAAAATATTAATTTCTTTTCTCATTTTTATCATCACAACAATTGGCCTATATGAATATATCTGCTTAATATGACTCCTTTCTTTTAATGTTAATTCTGTTAACATCTCTATTCCAACATTCTATTCTAATTAGAAAATATTCCTCCTAAAATTTTATCTACAATTCTTTTTCCATATTGCTGCTACAAATACTGTAATATTGAATATTCATCATGTGAATATAACAATCTATAAAACACTAATTACACGTGTAATTTATATCTTTTTCTTTTCTATAAAAATACAGTAAACAGTAGAAATATGTCATTTTTATAATAAAATATATACTGAAATATTCCAAGTGAAATAAAAAAATTATGATATTAAAGATTAAAATTGTTAATCTTATATACATTCATCATTCATATATTAGAATCAATTTTAATCTTGCAGACTGTTTCGCTTATATTGTTATTTATTTGATATTCATTAAATACAGTCGATTGCACCTACAATTTTAAGATATTTCATAAAATAAAATCTTTTCCAAATAATTAGTTCTACAGCGAGATAACGAATTTCACAATTGATGCTTCAAATAACTTTAAATTATGAAGCATAATGTTATTCCTGCAAATTATGATATATCTTTAATTATATAATCTTAAAATATTCTCAAATGTACCCATTATAAAATCGATGATTGTGTGAGATCTCAGAATTGTATTCATTTCCATTTTTTATACTTTTACTTTCATTTTTATAATTATCTATTTTTTACAAAATTTTCAAAATCTTTGGCTCATGAGAATATTATTAAACTTTGATAATATTCAAACTTAAAAAATCTTTTGTTTTACTTTAAACTTCCATACTTCAAATCCTCGTTACTAAGTCCATACTTGTTTCATAGAAAAAATTATATTTTCAAAGTTATAAATAATCGTCGATTTCATAATCTCATTACTCTTTCCACCTACCTACTGTACATATATATAGTAATATTTCTTAATATTTGGAAATGTGTATACAGATTTTCTATCTTTTCAAGTTCAAATGTATAATGAATGTATAATTCTTACCCTCTCATGTACGTCACGTCCTCGGGTTGCATGTGAAAAATGGAATAGGGTAAGCATCTGTTACAAAATGCGTGGACCAGCGACAAATTGTGCAGCGCGTCTGCGACCGAGGGTCTTTTCGACACCCTGATGTCCATCCAATTGAGCTCGCCGGGGCAGTAGAACGCCACAACAGCGGCAAGACCCACACCATCGCACAACGATTGGAAGTCCTTGGCAGCTGGCAGTTCTGGTAGTCGCGTTTTATCACCGGCACCCTCCTCTGTCTGAATTTTGGCGATCAACGCGTGTGACGCGTGACTGATCCACAGAAGAAGACCCTTCTCGTGGTCCGCTGGTACGTCCACCTCCGCCTGAGGATCGAATCGCCGGATCGCCGAGACCACCCGATCTCCAGTCACTACTTCTTTCGCGTATAAGACCATCAGGCCCTCTATCACAGCCATATGCGCAGACTGCAAACACAGGTATCGGATTAGGTTGGTGAAACGAAGAAAGAAAAGAAGAATAATTTTAAATTAAAATTAATTCTTTTTTATAAAATAATTCTCAAAACTTTATTCATCATTGTATATGTATATGTTTAAATTTGATATTTGGAAGTCCCTGTTGCTATACATAATAATGCTAATGCATAAGAAAAAATAGAATAAAGAAAGCTTAAAGCTCAGAAGTCCTAAACTGAAGCAAACATTGAAATACTAATTAAAAGAATTATTTAGGAAATAATATTTTTAAGAATATTACCCCCTTCTCTTTATGGGAAATATATGGGAAAATTCATAAAAAATAAAAATCTAAAGCAAGAAATGTAAAAGGAGAAATGTTACACACTGTTCGTGACTTCATACAATTGAATTTTGTTTGAAACAGAAACAACAAGCTTTATTCTACTAAATTAGCATATCTTGAATGTTATCTTGATGAATTAATATTTAGTATCTACATGTTATATGAAATGAAATCTCATTTCTTCCATTCTTTATGATTGAAATTTACAGCAATTAAAATTGAAATTGACTAAACAGTATAATCTAATCGTCAAACGGAATTTTGAAAAGTGAGGGAAAAGAATTGAGGTGAAAGATCCCGAATATAAAATTTTAGCTTCAGGTTTTCTACAATACACTGAATTATATCTATACAGATGTTACTAATGTAATAGTCTTATCATATAATATCTGACATATTTTTAGAAAAATTAGATCATTACCTTAATTTGAAATACATATAGAAAAAGAAATCATTTGTGTTACATAAATAAATCTTTTGCATTAGATAATTGTATATGTATATAATACATTGTATGATCTAATAATAGAATACTAATAAAATTTTGGTAGAAATAAATTAGAGTTTTATTTATAGGATGTATATTAATAAAAGTTTTATATATATGCATATAAAAGGTGTAGAGAGCAATCTAAATTTTTTCTTAAACATTAATTATCTAATTGAAATCTGAAAACATTTATAAAATAGATGCGGTCATTACATACATACTTAATTTTCGAGATACTAATAGATTTAGTAATAATAATACTTAATAGATGTTTTTTTTTTTTTTTT